ACAGACTTCAAAGCAAGCTGGTAGCAGGATGGTGCCCGTAGCTTCCAGAGGACTGCCCATGAGCTGCAGCTGTAAGTTTGGAGCTGCCATCTTTGATTTAAAAGAAAAGAAAAAAAAGTGGGGAGGGCTCTCCCCAGTCCTGCCATCTGAGAAAAAAACCTCAAAGCAGCTGGTACTATTTGAAACTCTTAAGTCTTTATTCTGTGTGGATGACACACAAGTTAGGGAGGATGAGGGAAGAACTGTCGTTTATACTTGTGAATTTGCTTAGAATAGAAAACAGATTTCACACTTGAGATGAAAGAGCAAGATATCTGGGTCTCTTTAGAATACTATCTTTATATATGATGTCTGTGTGCTCTCTGTGTGAAACTGTATTAGAGCATCAGTATGCAGACAATAAATGGGAGAATGGCAAGTGGTAAAATAAGTACACCATTACACTGAAGTCGCCACTAAGCTATAATTTCTGGAACTCCAGAAGATCTCAAAACTTGGAAACTGGTAGAAGTAAGCTTGAACTGAATGCACAAAATGAAGTGTGCCCTGGAATGTCTAACACCACACCTCCCCTCCAAAAAGCCAAATCCTAGGAGTTGAAAATTCACTCAGGAAGCATAAAAGAGGATCATTTAATATGAATAATAAATAACAGCTTTCAGGTCTTGTCTTTAAGAATTATTTACAGCAGAAAGCCCAAGTTTATGCCTCCTTTCCAAGCGCGGGTTTCCAAACAGCACATTTATGAGCTGAAGGAACAAGAGTGGAAGAGAAGCCAACTTTTGTTCTTGTTTTATTAGGCCTGATTTATTAACCTAAGAAGTGTCTCAGTGAGGTAACGAGGAGGCTGATATTCTGAAAAGGAAGAGATTTTGATGGACAGAGACTACCACAATAGTAAAAAGTTTATGTTTCACAGTCAGAAGCTCTGGTGGTAACTGCTAAGAAATGTCCTACCTGAGGTGCCAATCTTCCCATTGCCATATAGACAAATTATGTTATCAGCGTTGAGCCTCTAATTCACATCATTAATATTAAATAACTGGAGGCAGTGATATAAATGCACCACTTGCTTAAATTCAAATCTGCAAGACAGGAGTCCCAGATACTCCTGGGCATAACATCGTGCATCCTCTCTAGAGGGATGCAAGCTGCTGTACCCATCTGACAGCAAAGCTGGAGTGAGATAAAATGACTTGGCTTCCCTCCACCTCCACCTCCGGGCGAGGCTGGTCTGGTGGGTGGTGTTCAGAGCACATCAAACCCCGGTCTTGTGGGATTTGCCCTCCTAGGAGACGCGGTAGCTGGTTGCATTCAGAAACATAGGCAAAGGCAGTGTGGTGGTGCACCTCTGCAGACAGCAGCTGACTGCTGGCCGTGCTGGCTCAGGAGGTAAGAAACCTGAGCACTGTGCCTTCCCCAGCCTGAGGGCTGCCATTTAGCCACAGAGCACCCTGATCGATAGGATGGAGGCTATTACGGACCCAGGGAGTGGGTCAACACCTGAAAGGTCTGGTTTGGAAACTTGGGTGGGGGAGAAACAATTAGTGTGTTATTCAAAAAAAGAAAAAAAAAAAGTGAGAAGGAGCCAGAGAGGACTGTGCATGAAGTCTGCAAAAAGCACCTCTGTGGCATTTCTGTTCAGTAGAAGAAGGAATTGAGAGCTGCAGTAGATTACTGAGAGCTCACATTTATCTCTGTAAATTCTTTTGCTCCTGGAAATCACAAGATACTCTGAGAAAAAGACATCAAAATGTATTAATGAAGTATATAGAGATGTAATGGGTCTTGATTAATTATGTAGTCAATTATATGAAAATGTTGCATTATTGATGTTCCTTAAATGTGATTTGCCAAAAATATTCCCATAGGGCACTGATGTTTCATAGTATATTGTTCAGGATTAGGAGATGAAGTTCCCAGGTTAAGTTATTTACTGTTAATGAAAACACCACTCAGTATATACGGCTTGAAAATCCATTGTTAATTAACAGCATTCAATTCTTAATTGTCTTTTTACCAGTTCAGTTGAAATCATTGACACAAAATACATTGTTAAACTGCTTAATCAATCATTGTAGAAAAATAGAGGTGTTTGATAGGGACATTCTAGTACAAAGTTTACTTGAAGCTTCCCCATTGAAAGCTTTGGAGGCTTCTTTTTTTTTTTTTAAGCTTATGTTACAAAAATGAGATTTCATAAACTTTACAGTCCGTACTACATTAATACCAAAGACAATAAAATACAGGGGGAGAGAGAGAAAGAGATGAACACATACACCTTAAGCTTTAAGTGCCCTATTCACAAAAATATAGCTTACACATGCGCATGCCCCAGTGGCGGAAAGTCTATTTTTTTGTGCTAAAGGACACAAAAAAGATTTAATTAGGGCCCTGAGCTGCTGTTCTAGTTAATGCAAACTTTTGTTAAACTGCAGCAATGAATTATAGAGCGGCCCAGTAAATGACAAGAGCAAAAAGCAGGTTTATCCTCAGAGGAATGGTTTGCTTTCAGCTCGTGCACCTTTCGCTAGGACTGACACACGTGGGCGGTGCGTGGCTACTGATGCCACGCTCCCCCCGGCCCCTCTGCTCTAAGGCTTCTGTCTTCCAGTGGAGCTGTGGAGCCACCCTTCCTTAAAAACGCTCCGTACCTCTCACGGGTAGCCTTACGGGTGGGTTGTGAGGGATGAACTGGAGCACTCGGCAGCTGCTGATGCTGGGGCAGAAGGACGAGCTTTGAAAGGTCTGTAGCAAAACGAGTGTTATTTCACAAAAGTTAAGTGTAAGTAACCTTTACCGAGTCGGCAGAATCAGCCAACCCGGGTGGAGGGAACAAAAATCCATATTCTGCCCCGTTCCTTACATCATGCTGCTTTGTGAAAGCCTTCTAGGGAAAACGTTCAGAGCTGAAACAAAAAACTCTTTCCATCCAGCCTGGTCTGCCGGTCCCTGGTACGCAGCCCTTTCCCCTACCCTACTCTGCCCACCTCGGCATGACGCACAGCTAGAGGACCTGCAGAAACCCCGCTCATTAGCCACACACCGTGAAAATTAGCAAGGGGCGGTTGCTTCAGCAAAAAAATCGGAAATAGGTGTGAAATTAATGTGAAAGCTGTATCACAGTGCAAAATTTCCACCTGCCCACTAAGTTTCTCCTGAGGTTATTTTTTTTTCTCTTCTATTTTAATGTAAATGTTTCTGTACAAAAATGCTTCGGATTCTCTTCAGTGTATTCTTCCTTTCCGGAGTAGGCAGGTATAAAGAACAAGATTAAGGCTGCAGCTTCTTCTCCTTCGCTGACAGAAACGCTGTTCTTGATGGGCCTGAGCGAAAGCCCACCGAAAGCAACGCAATCTCTTTTCAACAGGTAGTATTTTATGCACGCTGGGCCTGACTGAGCGGTCCTTAGCCCTGGGCAATGCCGCCCCGTGTGAGCAGCCCCTTCGGGAGCACGTCCCTGAAGCGGCGACCGCACACATCAGCTGCCTTACTCGCGCGAGTGCTGCTGTGTAAGCTATGCAAATTATCACTACCCTGTTGATTTTAAAATTGTCAGGTCGGAATGTACAGGATTTACACTGATTTACACCAGCCAAGGAGCTAACCTAAGGTGAAGAAAGTCGTTAGGGAACCCCTCTCCTGAGCACGGGTGGCAGGAACCGTGTGTTTAGCTGAGAAACCCTGTTGAAGCGTGTACCCAGGGATGTCGCACCACCCGTGACTCTGCAGGACCGGCCAAGCGCCGGCGCTGTCAACAAATGGATTTCAGCGATTACGGCTTCAGGTGAAATTCAGCTGTTTCTTTCCCAGCTGAGTAGCTAAAACCTACTCGCTAAGGCGCAACATTCGGTTTTCAATGGCTTGTGCTGTTTGTGTAGCAAACTACTCCGCTGAAATCCCGTGGTTTGGGTGGGGAGAAGGGAGAAGTTTCCCTAGATATTGCACATAAAGGATAATACCTCCACACGAAACATGCTCGCTATATGAAGAGTATACAGGAAATTCTGGTTTGCCATGAGTTTGCCACAGCCGAAATTTTAGGTTGAACTGCCAAAAAAATAACCAGGAACGGTTTGCCTTATTTGTAAACATTTTCACAGTATATCAGTAATTATGTTACAGTTTCTCTACCCTGCCCTCTCCCAGACTTATGGCTTTTTAGAGTCAGTAAAACGATCTGTTTGGCAAACAGTGAGGTACTCTAAATAGCTGCCAGTCTGGTACACTGAAGAAAATGTCATGCACTAGAAGAGCCATAGATATAGGGGAAAAAATCAATATTACAATCCAAATATTAGAAGAGAAATGCCTACTTGATGGGTAGTTAGTTTTTGCATCCCAATATTTCTAGAACTCTGTTTCTAAACCTACGTTAATTACACATCTATGTACATTATTTAGAAGTTCTTTACTACAGTACTTTTGTACATGCGGTGTTTATTACTAAATGTAAAGAGAAAGTAATTACATAAGGCATATGTACAGTATCGTGTTGGATTGCAGATCCCTCTGCTCACCTTCGTCTTAAAGCTGCAAGGCCCATTTCATAGAGGCTTGTCATTCAGCATGTGAAACTGTTCTGAAATACATAAAAACTGGAGCCAAGGCCCGTTACTTTGATGAGCATTAATTAGTCTTTCCTTTTAAATCCCTTGTATATATTCCCATTGCTTTTGCTTTTTTTTGTTGTTGATGTGAATAAACCTGGAGGTCTGAACTCAGGGAGGTGCCGAGGAAGCCAGCAGTCGTTACCGGGGTGGGGATCGAGATTCCACCATCCATAATGGGTATTGCAGCTTTAACCCACGCCTTTACTTAGTCTGTGAATCTCTTGAGTTTAAATTGGGCAGGTAGATATTTCGCATCTTAAGTATTTATTTTCCCAGAATTAAGAATAACAAGGAAGAAAGAAAGAAAAAGGCATGTTGGAGACAGAAAAGGGGAGCAAAGAGGGAGAAGATAAAGGAGATGGTGTGGCCCTTACGCCTCCAGTCGTTCTACACTTTGGACTCATTCTCCAAGTTGGCCACATCACCGTTTCTTTCATTTTGGTCTTCTTGATTCTTTTCTTCCTCTTCGGTTTCCAGCTCAGCATGCTGGTCCAGCTTGCTGGAAACAGACCACGTCAGGGGCAGTTCTGCTCGGCTGGCCATCTCTGCCAGCTCTTTGGCACTGTAAACTGGTGTGTTGGTCTCATAGGTTTCATGAAAACTGTTGTAGTCAACTTCATAAAATCCATCCTCCAGAGTGAGGACAGGGGTGAAACGGTAGCCCCACAGGATCTCACTGGTAATGTATGAACTTCGAGCTTGGCAGGTCATTCCTGTAACAGAGAAGGAAGAAGTGCTGTAATAAGGACCCACTACTTTCCCAAATCCTTAATTAATTATTCATATAGGCAGAGAAGTATTTGTAAAAAGACGTATGCTAGAAAAGAAATAGAGAAATAGACATCATATGAGGTTGAGCTTAGAAAGCAATTTTACAATGTGTAACCTATTTGATGCCCTTTCCTATGTGCATGTATAGAATAACAAGTGGCGAGTCTGTGGACAAAGATTAACATTTCTTTGTTAAACGCAGCTCTTCTTCCTGTATTTCATCAACGAGTAACTCACCCACTGACGAGTCTCAGAAGGCTTATTGAGAGCATATGTGGCTTGCACCGTGCCATCCTCTGGTTCCTTGGCTTGTAACGAACCCACGCTGCCACGTCCAGCAGTTGCCCAGGCTAACTGAGGGACTTACGCAAAAGCTTTTCCCTGCTGGAGCTAACCCTTGAGCCTGTGATCCACGGGTTGGCTTGGTTCCCCTAAAGGTTGGAGCCGCCTTTTAGCTACGATGCTTTGAGGTTTGGGCTGGTGGCCAATGCACAAACACCAGCAAAACTCCTGAAGGACATTGTGATAGTGTGTGATGTTGAATTCAGATAACTGGGACTAACGTGTTACCTTCCCTCCACAG